GAGCAGATGGCTAACGTGCCTGTAGCCTTTCTGTCTGTACTCGCTTTAGCTTGTTGCATGAACTTTTCAGCAGTTATAATAAAATACTTTTTGGCCACCTGTCCATGGCAGTTACTTTTATTATCTTTCCCTTTTTTTTTAAATTCCAGCCAGTATTTCCAGTTTGGTTGGATCAAAAACTGTTTCTTTGTGGAGAATTAACAAATTTCCTTTACCATGAATAGGTTGCTATCCATAACCGCTTGGGAATGGGCTATTCTATTTTAGAATTTGTAAAGTTGCCTGGGAAATCTATGAGAACAGCAGCTGCAGCAGAGAAATGCCACTTTTTCAGAACAGCAATGTGATGGCTATTGTAGAGCTTTTCTGAACACCAGGAAAGGTTCAATAGTATCTAGACAAAGTTAGGCTAATAACAGCACGGGGAAAAAGGTTTGTGAAGAATCTCTGGGTGTCTGGCTGTGCAAGAACCTGGCTATTCATGTGTTTAACAAACCTAACATGCCTGTACTCTGCCTCCATTGAATATAGATGTAATGACAAACTGGGATTCTGTTCTAATGACAACCATCCCATACACTTTATTTATACATTTATGTAATAGCTACATACACAAACCTCAAAACCATAATTATTCATTTCAGTTTTAGGTCAAGACAAGAGGAGGAAGGGTCCAAAATATCAGTTCAGTGAATTTATAAGGAAGCAATATATCAAATAATTGCCTGAATTTAGGAGGTGCATGATGTTAATTTTGCTAATCCCAATCTCAAATGTCTAGGAGGATGATTTTAATTCAACAGCTAAAATTCTGGAACAAAACCCCATTATGCTCTGAGGAATGTACATCTTGTTTGGTTATTTTCTACCTAGTAAAGATAGAGGCAGAACAATCCACCAAATTAAATCATATTTTAGTTAGAGCAATGTACTGTAATACTCAGTGAAGGCGAAATCATGTGGGACTTAGTGAGATTAAAACCCCATGGTAGGTTTTGCCTAAGAAAAAAATGAATGATAAAGATCGTTTGGGTTTAACAATGTGATAGATTTGATTTCAATTAGCATTCTAGGTTTGATGTTCAAAAGCAGTCACCGGTGGCTTAACTCCGTTCCCATTGCTGTCCATAGGTGGGCCGACCCACAGCCCTTCTGAAAACCCCACTCTGAGAAAAAGCTTCACACTTGGCTACTCTCACTGTGTCAATCTGTTGCCTTTGCCTGTAAAACGTAGGACGGGAGGGAAATCTGTTTGATACTCTTTTTCTCAGTCCAATGAGAACTGGCCTAAGAGAGGATAGCGTAGAGTAAATAGGGGAGGGAATCGCCCTCCCCTGTACATTTAAACACTCATGAAAATAGAGAAATTCTGTTCCATCGTGAGGAGGACAAGGCTGTGGTTCATCTTGAACATCTTACGATTCCCTGGGAATCTATTTGGAACCATAATTTGCTGATACAGATAAAATTGCTTCTGTGTTATTTTGGCTGCTGTGTAGTCAGTTTGGTATATAAACAGTAAATTGCATCCTGAGAATCATTGTGAATATAGCACCAAACATATTGTTCAGTCAAGTCTCATCAAACTGTTGAAAGGCTTTACATGCCAGTTAATGGTACTGTTTCCATCTGGCTACATGTCTATAAATGTTTCTAAGTCAAGTCCTGAAACATTAGATGAGCTGATAATTATTTATCTCCAGAGAGACTTATTTTTTTGCTAATTAGGTATTCTGTGGTACTTAAACTGTGCAGTCTGAACTTATCTATAAATTGACGCAAGCGTATTCACCAAATTAATGCTAAAATTATGGGGAAAGAAGTATGTTTGCCAACACTTTAAAATGGATTATTAACAGCATTAAATATGGTTAGCTATATTCACCCATCATACCCACTTATTTTGCTCCTCTACCATGGCAGAGAGTTGTATATTATTCCTGTAATTTTGCAGTATTTGTATAGGGACAAATTTAGGGCCCAATCCTGTCCCATTGACACTGATACGAGTTTTGCTACTGACAGCAATGGGGACAAGATTGGGTTTTAAAGCCTAAAACTTAAAAAGTTGAACATAATGGGGTAGAAAGTACTGAAGTCAATGGGAGTGCTGTGCAGTCACCTGAAAGTAGAATTTGGCCCAAACTGTAGGAGTAAAACAAATGTTGGGACATAAATTACATATTTCTTTTGTTTTGCCCTCCCTCTTTGCTATTCTGCTTCTTCCCACCAGCACCACCCAAGCATTGTTTTTACTGCTAGACGCTATTAGCGGTTTTAGTATTTAATTCAAGAAGTCCTACCAGGTACATGTTGGTAGAATCTAATGTTGAAACATTAGTAGCTCTTCTAGTATCTAATTACTTGCATGCTGTCTGTCCCAGGAATGAAAAATATGGCAGTATTTAGGCTGTAGAATAAATTGTGGAGGTATGTGTTGCTTTCTGAAATAGTGAATTGTTTACGGTCTATATCACAAGACTAAAATTAGCTCTGTGGAGGGAAGAGCATAAGAGTACAAGACACTACTGTAACAACATTTATTCAGTTAATGTCTTATTCATCCAACCTATAATTATTACACCCTATTTATGGGCAAGTATAGATGGGATTCTTATCAGTGAATACTAATGTATAATAAAAACATTTTCTCTATTAGGATTTGACTTTCACAGTTTTAAGTACATATGCTTAATTATTTTATTTTTATTTTCAGACTTAGACAATTTATCAGTTCTTAAACTGCCCATAAATAACTGCTGATAGCTGTTCATTTGTTATGGTTTGGTGTGCGTGTGTGTGTGTGTGTGGTTTGTTTTTTGAGTAGGCCAAATCCTGGTACTTGTTTCAGAAATATCAGTGACAGTTGCACCCCATTCTTTAAACCTAGTCCTTATTTGGGCAAAACATCTGTTGGAGTCATATTCATTAATACATTGACTTCAGTGGTGGTCATTTTGCGTAAGGACAGCAGGGTTTGGCCAACAGATATGCAAAACCCTGTAAATCCCCACAAATCTGTATTTTCATGTGCAATTCATATAATTGCAAACCAAGTACTTGTGTACTTCACAGAACCAGTACTTTACTCATACCTTTAGATTGTAAGCTGCTTAAAGCCTTTTTGTCATGTGTTTGTTCAGTGCCTGCTATGGTGGAAATCTGGTCCACACCTAAGGGTCTGAGGTGCAACTCAATACAAACTGTGCACAATGGTTACATGTCCATTTCTACAGTTGTGTAGTGTTGAAAATGTATTTATAAACCTTATTGGTCCTGAAACTGATCTGTTGTTACATATTTCATTTGAGGAGCCCAACTGTGAGAATTGCAGAGTCTCTTGAACTTCCCATTGACCCTGCTTGGAGTTAATGATGTTCAGTACATTGTAAGGCTGGATTCAATATTAAGATGGTGATTTTTGTTGTTTAATGTTGCAATGGGATGAATAATCATTTATTCTAATTAATATAACAAAGGTGGTTCTTTGTTCTCTTTGACTTGGTAGCTAACCGAAAGAAAACTGCAAGTACTGCAAAATGCAGTATGGTGGTAATGTGTTTATAATGGGTGTTAATTAACCACAAAGAAAGGGGCTATTTTCTTGATTTGGTTAATATCAAATGTATGTAAGCCTCGGCTTTGGAGAGAGTTGATGAAAATCAAAATATTTCTGTTTCAGGTGATTTCCCATAGATCATTGCTTTGTGAAACTTTTCTAAAAATTGCCATTATTTAGAAATAATTCCAAAAATAAGGTCAGTTCTTCAGCTGGTATAAATCAGTGTAGCTTTGCTGTTTCCACCAGCTGTGGATCTCACCCATAGTTTTGATTATTATTTTTTATTTTTAAGAAAACCCAATAGCCAATCAACTGTGCTTTCATCATCACCATGAAGTAGCCTTAGAGAAATCCAGAATGGTTCTAAGTTGTGACTTCACCCCCCACCCTGCTTCCATTCAGGCCCTTGCAACATTTAAGAAATTAAAAATTTGGGCCCCAGTCCTGCACTGAATTCCATGTGGACCCAGGGGCATGCTCATGCAGAACTCTCTACAGGATTGGGGTCTTGCTTTTTAAAGAAACACAGTTTTGAGCAAAAATGGAATTGGTCAAATAATTTATAATGGTTAAAACTGCTGTGTAGATTTAAATAGCACCAAATAATATTACACAAGCTTCTAAATCTAAACTGTATTGCATACATTAACTAGACATTATATCACATTTGATTTTCTTAATTAGAAAAATGTTACTCATCACTTTTACTATTAATGGGCTCTGCCATAGCAAATCTATGGATAATTGTAACATTTTGTAATTGGAAAAAACCTGTCGTCGTCATCCATACCTTTGCCATGGAAGATGCCAATTATGATTGCAAGTGATGAATAGCACGTATCTTATGACTGGTTTCAGAGTAGTAGCTGTGTTAGTCTGTATCAGCAAAAAGAACGAGGAGTACTTGTGGCACCTCAGAGACTAACAAATTTATTTGGGCATAAGCTTTTGTGGGCTAAAACCCACTTCTTCACATCACTGTAATTGATAGACTTAATCTTAGGTTGCACTTCATGTTCGCATTTTATCTTACTGTCTCTGCTTCTAAGTTATTAAAGCACAAGATGAAGGATTTTTTGGCTTAGTAAATGCATAGGTATTTTTTTTTTTTTTTTAGCAAAATGACTAGCATAAACTGGCGTTCTTGTGCTGCAGTAAGGGGTATATGTGTTAATCGATAGAAGCAATAGGCTTAGGGCCTATTTTTCCCCAGAAGTGCTGACCATCCTCAACTCTGGTTGAAATCTTTGGTAGATGTGGGCACTCTGCACATGCAAAAGTCAGTCCCATAGCTTGTAATATGAAGACAGAGATTTTACATATGGTAATAATGGTGGTGGTTTAGATTAAAAGGTTACTGTTGCTTTTAAATAAGAGTCTGTGCATTTTCCATGATAGCTGGCTAACATTGCAGTAACTTTCAGTGATATTCTTGTAGGTCTTCCACAAGGCCAGAAGTTGCCAGCATAGAACCTGCAGATCAAGATGAACGCCAATGTTCACAAAAGGCTGTTGTCCAGGCACGTTCATCGCAGCCAACACGTCTGACAAGTATCATTTTTGCTGAAGATATATGTAAGTTTTCAACTTTTTTTAAAGTCACATTTTATTGTGTGGGTTAAAAAAATTGTACGATACTGCAGGTTTATGAGCCCTATGACATCTTTAAGGGATACACACGGTATATGTGACAAACATCCATTCATATGTGCACTTTATTTATAAGCTTATAGATAGAAAAGACCACATGAACCCTGTTCTGCAGAGGTCTCAAGTCAATGTGGGTAAGGCATCTGAAATCTTCTGGGGTGGGTGGTAGGTGTATCTGAAACTCTAGGAATCCCCAGATTTGTGAAAAGTGAGTGCTTCAATTTGAATTTTACATAATTCAATTTCAGATATTTGGGATTTGGAAAATTGGAGTTTACTTCCATGCCTTACATCAATGCAGGGTACTGTCTGCTTTTAGAAAGAAAGATATGCAAAGTAGATGAGTTAATAGACATTTATTTGTAACATAATCGTTGTATAATAAATTCATTACGTTATATTGCACTTTTCATCCCAAAGGAATGTAGGGTGTTTTATGAATGATACGTGTAGGGGGCTTTTACCCACTTCTGTCACTGAATTGTGTCCAAGGAGCTGCTATTCTGAACCAGCAACACTATACAAAAATTTTCTAGAGGGGAAATAAAGCAAATTTCTTCACTTACAATATGGTGGGCATTGTAAATCCTATACCGGGGTGGGCAAACTACAGCCCGCGGACCACATCCGGCCCGCGGTACCGTCCTGCCCGAGCTCCTGGCCTGGGAGGCTAGGCTCTGGCCCCTCACCTGCTGTCCCCCCTCCCCCGCAGCCTCAGCTTGCTCGCTCCGCCGCGGGCGCAATGCTCTGGGCGGCAGGGCTGTGAGCTCCTGGGGCAGCGCAGCTGCAGAGCCCGGCCTGACCCGCTCTCTCTGCTGTGTGGTGGCGGCATGGCCCGGCTCCAATCGCGTGGCGCGGCTGTAGCGCCACCAGCCACCGGTGCTCCAGGCAGCACGGTAAGGGGGCAGGGAGCAGGGGCGGTTGGATAGAGGGCAGTGGAATTTGGGGTGCTGGTCAGGGGGCGGGGATGTGGATAGGGGTCGGGTTGGTCGGGGAGAACGGGGGCAGGGGTCCCGGGGTGGGGCAGTCAGGAAGGAGAGGGGGTTGGATGGGGCTGCAGGAGTCTGGGAGCAGTCAGGAGACAGGGAGCGGAGGGGGCGGGGTGGATGGGGCAGGGGTCCCAGTGGTGCCATCAGGGAACAGGGGACGTTGGATGGGACAGGAGTCCCGCGGGGGCAGATAGGAGATGGGGGCTGGCTCACGACCCCCTCCCCTAATCAGCCCTCCATACAATTTATGAAACCCAATGTGGCCCTCTAGGACAGCGGCGGGCAAACTTTTTGGCCTGCTGCTGTCCTATACAAACACTTTTATTTTGAGCTTAAAAGGGAGGAGCTACTCTTGTCTTCAGGACCTAGTTTGTTTTTCAATAGCATTCAGGACCTGGATTCCATCCCTTGAATGGTAAAGCTTTGTTCTGCCCCTAGTTTAGATCTGCCAGCTGGTTAAGATGTATTTCATCTTATTTGCTTAATAATTTTGGTGATGATCATGATGATCATGCTCAGTGCTACTGACTTAATGTTTTCTATTGTTTCTTTAAGTGACTGGTCAAGTGCTTCGTTGTGATGCTATAGTTGACATAATTCATGGCATCCAAATTGTGTCCACGACAAGAGAACTTTATCTTGAAGATTCACCACTGAAGCTGAAAATTCAGGCTTTGGATTCTGAAGGTCAGAGGCTTACTATTAAGATGTGAAAGTTTTAGTGAAGTCGTGTGTGTGTGTGCGTGCGTGTGTGTGTGCGCCAAGAAATCCCAAACATCCAAATGGGCCAATTGGACACTGTTTCATATCTGACAATTCCTGTTTAATTTTTTCTGGGTTCCTCAGGAATCAATTTTAGTATTAATGGCATTTTCAAATATCAGAATCCCAAATACACATATTTACATGGGAAAGGGGGCGAAAGAAACAAAAATCAGGAGGTAATAACAGTTGCACAGCTAAAATGTCACATCAATATTTGGCTGGTCTGGTCAGGGCTGCAAGGAAGATTGAAGCAGTAGTGATACAAGTCTGTGAACTATAGGGTTTTGCTAAGCTGAGGCAAGGAGGATGCATTTTTAAGGCAAACCTGTAAAAAGACATTTTATTTAAGGTCAAACAAGTTTAATATGTCTTTTGTTCACACTTCTGTCTCTGTTCCAGGCACCAACTGCTGGGCTTCATATCTCTCAAACTAATATAATCTAGATTTTTTTATAGTTGTTTCCATCATCCTAGTGTCTGACCCACTGGAGTCAGGAGTCTTTTCAGTGACTTCAGTGGAAGATAAATTGGGTCCATCATATCTAAGAGGAAGAGGAAACCTCTGCTTGCCATAGCATATGTAGTAATCTGAGTGCCTTCAGGAACTTCAGACCTTGCTTCAGCAGCTAAATTCTACACACAAAACAAAAGGTTTTAAAAAGTGAATTAAGGCAGCCAGACGATTTAAACAGCAGTAGAAGCTTGATGTTCATAGTTTGGATACTAGAGGCTTAAACCACATATGTCTACTTATAAATCATAAAAGCCAGGCTCTATACTGTAAAGTATCAATAGATAGAACTGTTAAACTTCCTTACTGTATTTGTAATTCCAGAACCTTGTCATGGTTTTTCTGTAGACCCTCAAACATACTCAGCTGACAAATTTGCTTTGGGAGCCATCCAAGTTAAAGTTTGAACAGAAGCTGTGGTTTAAAACCCACAAAGAACAGTATAATCTAAATTGCTGGAACAAGATGTTCACTAGGAGCCTAAGCTTAAACTTTCAAGCTTAAAGTAATGGAAACAGTGATTGCCCAGCAGCTCTGAAAATCACATTTTTGTAAGTGATTAACTTTAGGAACTCAACTTAAAGAATTTTGCTGGAGATTTTTAAACTGCTATGGTCTTCTCTTACAATACTTTCTACACATTCATCTCTTTTTGCAAACATTGTTCCTATACTAACAGGTGACCAAGTTTTGGAACATGAGCAGAATTGTTGAAGACAGTCTTTACGTTTCAGAGGTGCTCTCTTGTTATTTAAGAAAACTGAATAAATGACTTTTAGACAGTAAATTATTCATTCTTTTGCATACAAGAGGAGCAAAAATAAAGGGGAAAAAATAAGCTTGTAATTGGTGAATAGTTGAACATTGCAAAGGACCTGTAGCTGGCTTTTACTTTGGACTTCTGCACGTATACATGATGATATTTGTAGATTTTGTAGTAACTTGTATATTATTTCACTTACACACATAATGGAATGCTAGGGAATTTTTAAAAATGTTATCTTTGTTTCAGACTGACCATATACTATGCCTCATTATTGCATCTTGTATGAAAGATCAGGTCATGCTTTACTGTGAAGCTCTGGTCCTGTGACAGAGGATGCTGTAAATAGCAGTACCTAGATATATAGTTCACAGTGGTGCCTCCCCTTACACATACTTTTTTGGAGTTTTGTCGCACACTTAACATCCTAATGTATTGTGTGCAAATTACTTTTGTTAGTGCCAGTAAAAAAAGCAGAAGACATTTTAAACATGAACGTTAAATATGGTCTAACATGTATTTTTTCTGATGACACCAATTATCGTGTGCTATGTAAATAAGCACTTAGCACTTTCCCCAAATAGTTTTGCAGCATTGCTGAAAAAATTTAGGACAATAGTTACACCATAGGGAAGTTGGCCTCATGAGTGTATGAAGAAGGGAGATGATATTCAACCAATCTTTGATACTATGAGTCAAATTAGTCTTGGTGTAAACTCAGTCACCCATTATCTCAAAATAGCTTTATATCAAGGCACTCTGTAAACATGGAGAATGTTAATGTTAAAGCAGTTATGTAAATATTTAAAAAAATTAATCCCAAAATTACTGTGCATGTCTTCATAGCTTCTAGACTGGATTCATTTTTGTACAGTGTAAAATGAATCAAAATTCTGATTCACAGGTTCTGGACAAAACTTTCTACCAAATATTTTAGGAAAGTAAAGTTATTTTGTTATGCTTGTTGTGAATTATGGAGAGTTAAATACAGTGAAAGCTTCTTGTTAAATGCTTGAAGTTCCAGTTGTTGGTGAAAGAGCAGAACTCTTAAGATTAAATTCCATCTCAACATTTTAAAAGTACCATAACATTTTTACATTGTTTAGACAAACTAATAAATGGGAAATAGCTTAGTTCACATGATTAGTCTGGAGTTCAAGAATAGTTATTTACATTTGTAAGTATTTGTAGGACCAAGCCAAACCTGCAATTCAATGGGATTTTTATCTGGGTAGGGCCTGTGGGATTAGGGCCCAAAGTAATTTCATATATAGGATTCCAAAAAGCTGCTGGAACCATTGCAGTTCCTTAGTTATATATATGAATTTCAGCTGCTTAAAATAGTGATTTGTCCTAGAAATGATGAGTGGTTCTTGACTTAGAGCACCACTAGCAGGAATCACTGTAAAGTATATGTTACACCTATTTTAGTAACCTGATTCTGCATTTGGGTCCACATGGCTGGTAACTGTGCTGTGTCTGTCATAACTTTTTGATCTATGTTAATCTCTATGTTGCAATAAAATTGCTTCTTCTAATGACCTACTATTTATATAGTGCGCTTCATCAGTATATCTTTAGATGAAGTCCCTGAATTGCTGTGTGTTAGAGATCACCTGTATTCTCCATGATGAACTAAATACAAAAATTCAGGTCAAAAGTATTTTGAAGAGAGCAGAAGATTTGAAATTGGATTTTATTAAAAAAACCAACAACTTGCTGTTTATCACCAAACTGAGGTGTATTGAGAAACTTCCTGTCACAGTTCCCTATTCTTGAAGGATCTCAGTACCATCTGACAAGATAATATATGTATAGTCCATTGAAAAAAATAATTAATTTTTATATTGGGGTTGTATGTTATTTTATGGCATAATCTGGGAACAGGGAAACTCCAGTCTTATCATAGCTCAGTGTACCAAAGAATTGGTAGTGCTATTGCTTTAGAACTGCTGTCATAGAACTGTTAGCAAGAGCAGGGTGGGGAAATAATCCCGATGTATCTAAAAGGACTTCTTAAACTCCTGTCCAAACTTAATCTTTACTTGATTGATCAGTGTGTTCTTGGCGTAAACTTTGTATAAGGATTAATGGAGGCTAATCAAATCATAGTGGGACTAAAGTGCTTTCAGTTTCTAATAGGCAGGATGAAATTTAATATATCATGCCACTCTTATTAAATTATACTTCGGGCTAAATCCTGCTACTAACTAAAGTCCAAATGGAGTTTTTCTATTGACTCCAGCGAGACTAGGATAGGATTTTCTAACATTTATTTACCTTGGATAACTCCTGTGCTGCAGAGGCCCTGTCCCCGTTGTCTCAGCAGGGATTTCATTGTGCTTCTGCTGAATGTTGCTGTGGCACTGTTAAGACACATCTCTGCACTGGTACAATGTGCTTTTCTCTCCTTGCCCTGTTTGCATCTTTAGTTTGAGCAAGAATGAGGGAAAACATGTCTTAGCTTTGCAAAACTAAAACATCTGTTATGAGAACAGCTAATTTAGCTCTGTGCATCTTAAATAAAATATCCTCAAGCAGTTTGAAACATATTCCCCCGTAATAGACTGAGTTAAAGAAAGAAGTTTTAGACTGGAAGAATAGAAAGATGCTTTTTATAGTCACAATCTTGTTCATGCAGGATACAAAGCTGTTTGTATCTGTATAGTACAGATGCTCCCCAACTTACGCAAGTGTTCCATTCTGGAACGCCTTGCGTAACTCAAATTTTGCGTAAGTTGGAAATGTATACCTGACCTTTCGCGCAACCACCCGCGCGCCCCCCTCCCCCCCCAAAAAAACCCCACCTCCTATCTCTAGCTTTCGGAACTTTTTCCATAAGTGCAGATTTGCGTAACCTGCGGGGTGTCTGTATATATTTGGGAGGGAAAATATGCTTTGAATTGTATTACCACTGTTACAACATTTCTGTGGTTTAGATGATGCCATAAGCCTTTAGCTGTAGGAACTTGGCAGTGGTCATTATAATTGCCAATGAAAGAATGAGAGAGGAAAACAAAGAATATAAATGAAAATACATTATTATTAATAATAAAAAATACTAGCACAATATAAGGCTTCAGCCCTGCACCCATGAATGCCAATGGGAGCTTTGTAATTGGTTTCAGTGGGTGCAGCATCTCTCCAAAGGTTGAGAGATCTTTCTAAAAGACTTTCAGATTCAGCATGTGACAATTATCTGGCTTCAGTATGTTTATTCCATTTATAATCCTTTAATATCTGTTATTTCACATGTTGGAATGATTCAGGGCTTGCCTATACTTACTGGGGGGGGTCAACAAGCGGCGATCGATGCATCAGTAGTCGATTTAGCAGGTCTAGTGAAGACCCGCTAAACTGACCGCAGATCGCTCTCACGTCGACTTCTGTACTCCATCAGATCGAGAAGAGAAGGGGGAGTCGGTGGGAGATCGTCTCCTGTCGACATCACATAGTGTGGACCCCGTGGTAAGTAGATCTAAGCTATGTCGATTTGAGTTACGCTATTCACGTTACTCAAATTGCGTATCTCAGATCGAATTTCCCTTGTAGTGTAGACAAGACATAAGATCTAGCGTCCCCCCAAAAAATGAATAACTTGAATTGTCTATATTACCGGTAAATCCATTTCAGGTTTAAAAAAGTCATATTGAATATATATGGAAAGTACATTTCATTAAAATGTGGATCCCAAATTCCCCAAAGAGTATCTCAGATCCGCATGTCTCAAAGTGCTGGATTATGCGCTTGGCTCTATGAGTTATCTGAAAGGTGTATAAAATTACATATAGGTTGATAGTTCCTTACTGATATGTCTGAAGTGTCTCATATATGTGGTTTGTTTCCACTAGAATGTGGAATATATGGTAATTAGGAGATATGACTGTGACATACACATGCCGTAAAAGAGATTTACCATTGACTTGAGGCGTAGTTGGATCTGGCCTTCTGCAAATAGCTGAGGTGAAGGACTTAACCCTCTCCTTTTCTGCCAAACCACTGAGTTGTTCAAGGACTTGTATATCTGCCCTAATGTACCATTAGGGAGTCAGCAACACTTCGTTATGGAGTCTGTTAGCACCTATGATGCAAAAAGGCTTCTAATTTTAAGTGGCACACATATACTTCGGGATTGGAATCCATCCTGCATGTGAAAATGAGTTTGAGATAAATTATATTGTGATGCTTTCAACATTAAAACAAAGATGCCTCATATCCACTTGGCCCAAAGAAAGTGGGAGTTTTGCTGCTTACCAGGAATGGGCCCATTGTCACATCTGACTTTTGTAATAACCTGTATTGAAGGATGCATGTGTCCTATTGGTATCCAAAAAGTAGTCATGGAATCTAATCAAGGTTTAGATGGTTCTTGTTTTGAAGGGGGAAGGTTGTGATTCCAGCAGTATCTTATTAAAAATTCAGCCATTTAATTCCCTTTTCTCCAGAGCAGACATGCTGGTACACTTAGTGTGACCAGAAAATATAAATTTGTAGTTGAACGATGAGGGTGTATGATAATACCTGTATATACGTACTGGGATCCAGAGCATTCCCAGTTTCATATGTTGGGCCTAAAGTGGAACAATTGCATTTGTACCACAGATGTTTATGGTCACTACAGGCTACTGGGGCCATTGTCTGCAGATGGCGTCTTACGCTTTTTGGATATGTCGCAAGAATGCCACAAGACGTTCCGGCGAGCTCCATTCTACAGCTGGCTTGTAACATCCGGGATAAAACTCCACCAACTGAGGAGTGGAGGCAGCCCAGAGGCTGACCTCTTATTATGGGGGCGCATCAAGTCTGTTCCAGTGTTGGACTCTTAGCCCGTCAAGCCCTTGCGGCTGCACAGGAACAGATCCAATGGTGAACGATGGTTACGGCCGACCATTCGGCTAAGTATTTAAGAAGAAGATCCAAAGCAGCATATCAAACCATAAATTGTAAACAATTCTCTATTCTATTTTGATTCTCCAAACCTTCCAGTTATCTGGCTTAAAAAAACACCTCTCCTTTTTAACTTTAATAAAGAACTATCTTGTTTGAATGATTTTTGCAAATTTAAGATGCTCCTGCTTCTGTTCATTGATATTTCTTGTTTGTTTCCAAGCAGCAGGAAGACTTCGTTGTCATTTTGAATTTTGTTACCTAATTATTCATTTGATTTATAGGAAACACTTTTAGCACATTGGCGGGGTTAGCCTTTGACTGGACGATAGTAAAAGATACTGAGGCTGATGGCTTCTCAGATTCGCACAATGCATTGCGGTAAGCACAATTTACATTATTCTCAAAGGCTCCAGGTTTAGTCATGTTCTTAAAGTTAGGCATGAACAAAAATACCTTGCTGAATCTGGGTCTATAAACTGAAATTATAATACCCAAAGTATAGTATACAGATTCATTGTTTTAGATTGACTACTACAACTGCCAGTCCACAATTCTGGGCACTTCCACACCCATTTAAAATTTGCAATAATAAAAATACAATTGATGATGTTCAGAAGCTGTGCATATAGTTCTAAACCACCATTAAAAAATTAGCAATAGACTCAACTATGCCAGAGCTGACCCCTCCCCAAACAACTGGGGAAAACGATAAGGTATTAGTGCTGCGATTGGTACGTAAGGATATGGGGGTGGCTGCAGAGGACAGAGGTTAGCCTCTCATTTGGAAGGTGGGGCTATGGCCCATTCACTACTTGGCCACTCTGCCGAGACTGCCAACAAGGTGGCCAAAGTTTGGTTGAGGTGTTGGTGGCTCTCGACACCATTTACAAGGAACTGTACTGAGAAACAAATATTTCATTTTTTAAAAGGTTTTAATGAGTTTTTTGAAGCTTTCAGAGCAGGGCATTTAGCTTTCTAATGGAAGATGTAGCAGATTTAGCCTTACAACATTTTGAAAATCCAAACCACTGTGTCTTGCTTGGCACTTATAATCTGTAGGGCCCCTGCACACCACACTTGTGGTCCCATTGATTCGTGAGTAGGGGTTAGCCCAGGGGCGGGCAAATTTTTTGGCTCGAGGGCTGCATCCGGTTTCCAAAAGTGTATGGAGGGCTGGTTAAGGGAGGCTGTGCCTCCCCAAACAGCCAGAAATGGCCTGGCCCCCGGCTCCCTATCTGACTCTTCCCCCCCCCCCCCCGTCTTGCCCCAACGGCCCCCACCAGGACTCCTTCCCCATCCACCCACTCCTTGTCCCCTGACGGTCCCCGGACCCCCCACCGCCCCATCCAACCCACCCACCCCCCCTGACTGCCTCATTGAGACCCTTGCCCCATCCAATCACCCCTTCTCCCTGTCCCTGACCGCCTCTGGAACCCCTGCCCCCGACTGTCCCCCGCCATCCCATCCAACCCCATCTCTCCTTCCTGACTGCCCCCCCAGGACTCCTGCCCCCATTCAACCCCCCCTGTTCCCCACCCTCTGACTGCCCCGACCCTCATCCATGCCCCTGACCACCACTCCGAATTCCCCTGCCTTTTGTCCAATCGTCCCTGCTCCCTTACCACGCTGCCTGGAGCACCGGTGGCTGGCGGCGCTACAGCAGCGCCGCCCAGAGTAGCAGGACAGGCAGCCGCACCGCCCGGCTGGAGCAAGCCACGCCACCGCGCAGCACAGAGCACCGGGTTAGGCCGCGGCTCTGCAGCTGCACTGCCCCAGGAGCTCGCAGCCCCGCCGCCCAGAGCATTGTGCCGGCGGTGGGGCGAGCTGAGGCTGCGGGGGGGGGGCGCAGAGGCC